GTGCCAATGTTAATGCGTAGAATGAGTGCGAGTGAAGGAGTGGAAATGCGAGAGTGCTTGAATGCAGAAATGGAAGAGACAACAAGAGTGTGAAATGGGCAGTTTGAGAGTGACAATTGTCCATATGTGTGTGTGTTTTGCGTGTGTTTATTCTCTACGAGTGTTTTGTGTGTGCAATAGCAGTGCAAATCGCCTATTCAACGAGTGTTGGGCCATGATCTTTTCATTAATCCATATATGGAAATACTCTATCCTCCCCCCATATCATCACACATCTTGCTTTTTTTCTCATCATCATCATCATCATTGTTCATCCCCACACACTTGGAAGCATGGCTATACAGCCAGCAACGGGAGATGGCTTTTCTCCCAGTAGGCCCCCTTCACCTCCCTCCACACCCGAAAAGTATTCACACACGGAAGAGAATGGTCATCATCCACAACAACTACCACCACCACCACCAGCACCACCAGCAGCACCGCCAGAGCATCCCAATTCTTCTGCGGGCATGTACGGCTATTACACAAAACACGCACTCGCATCTGTATCACACTTGCAGCAGCAGCAACAACAGCAACAGCAACAACACAATGTGGGCAACCTGCAGAGCGCAGAGGACTGGAGAATGAGAGAGCGGCTCAAAACGGTCTCGGTGGCTCTCGTTCTTTGCTTGAATATCAGTGTTGATCCTCCAGATATTGTCAAACCCAACCCTTGTGCAAGGCTAGAGTGCTGGGTAGACCCTGCTTCTCAGACTCCCAGAAAAGCCCTCGAAGCCATTGGACGAAACTTGCAGGCTCAGTATGAAGTTTGGCAACCCCGTGCTCGCTACAGACTCTCCCTCGATCCTTCCGTAGACGAAATCAAAAAACTCTGCTGTTCCCTCCGTCGCAACACAAAGGAGGAGCGCGTCCTCTTTCACTACAATGGCCATGGCGTCCCTCGGCCGACGCCAGGAGGTGAGCTCTGGTGTTCAACAAGGATTACACCCAGTACATTCCCGTCTCCATCTATGACCTCCAACGTGGTGGGCTCGCCCTGCATCTACGTATA